TACCAGGAGGTGGGCAGGGGAAACATAAAGGAGCTGAAATTCAAACCAGTCCGTTTTACTCCACTTAGGTGCCTCCCATAAAACTAGGCAGGATTTCATCATCCAAGACCTCTCTGGCCCATGCTCCAGGGAGGCTGAAGCAACCCAAAGGGTGAAGAGATGCAGAATCACAGGACCCCAGGCATCAGCAGCTTATGCTTCCAATCATCACAAGCTCCTGACTATGTATTTAAGAGTTAACAGACCATGGGCTAGCCCATCAAGTCAAGGCTAGGGATGTGTAGAGCAGGAATGCTACGGCTGCCCTCAGTATCGAAGCACACTCTCCTTGTCCCTCCAAAGTCCCCAGCACAATGGCAAATTCACAAAGGAAGTGAATCTTGCCAGACTGTGCTAGCAAATCCCCATAAACACTTGGGCCAGGGTAGTACTGCTTATGTAAAATGCTTCTCCATTGAGAGATGCTGCTTTATTTACATTCTTCACAACCCATTCATAAAAAGAAGGCCTTTTAATGTTGGGACTGTTCGTATAGTGCTCCATAAATCTGGCAGCTTCGGCTGGCAGCCTGAGTTCAACAGACTACTTCTCAACTCCAGACTTTTTTACCCCTCAAGATTTTTTTTTTTCCTCTTTAATGACTCACCTTGTGACAGGGTGCTGGGGCCAGATGTTGCAGGAGAGAGGCCAAGAGGAATAAGAACAGATAAGATTAAAACAGGCAAGTCCTTCTGAATGCTGGGACAAAGAGGTGAGGAGGAATGAAAATAAATAAATCGAAAATCCCGATAGAACACCCATGTGAAGTATGTATGGTGGGAGGCTGAAATCCTTCCAGGTTTACGGAAACTTTCTTTATGGATGTCAAACTGCCCCCCTACTTACACCTCTACATACCAGAGACGATGTGAAGAGGATTTTTTTTTTTAATACAGAAGGAAAAGATAGAAGAGGGCACTTCCTGGTTTTTAATTTGAATTGTGGATGAGTAATTTTCTCTGCTTCTTCACAGAAGTGTTCCAGAGGCTGCTGAATCCAAGGGTGGCACAATTTGCTCTGGGTGAAGAAATTCAGGTGAACCCCAGAAAGAGAGAAAGGACTGTGTTATAGGACACACAGCAAAAACAGCCTAAGCAGCTGAGCGTGAGCCCAGGAGATGCACTCTGAGGTAGCTCATCTCCTGCTAAGGTACAAGCAAGGAGTAGTAGTGGGAATTTTTTTTAATTGACGGGGGAGCGGTTGCGTTGCCACGGCAACTGTGAGGGGTGGCGTTCCCGCTTGGAAGGGAAATGCTGGTCCATTAATCATCAAACTGGGGCACAAAAGGGAGGTTTGGGGAAAGGGGGATACATGCAGAATTTATTTTTTCACTGTCTAGACTCAAACCAGTCATCAGTCCTCTTTCCCATTTCCCCTATGGTCCAGGGTTGATGGTAAACAAAACACAAGTTTGGAGAGAGCTGGAATCAGAGCTTTCCTTCCTGATAGGTCCAGGATGGGGTTGACTGCGCCTCCCATGTCAGAGATGCCCCTGTAAAACACCTCTTTCAACAGGAGTCCCAAAAGTTCCACCAACAGGCCAGACCTAGAAATCTTTTTTCTTTTCAGTTCTCATTGCCATGTTTTCTCCCTCATTTACACCCAGGATTGAGAAGAGATAAAACATATGGATTCATTTAGCATGGACAGCAAGGAAAATTGCATAAGAGCAGCAAAACCAAGTGGAGAGAATGGCCTGGTTGGGTAGAAAGAAAACAAGATTACAGCTCTTTTCCGATCATGTCTATAGAGCGTCATGTGAGCAATCCACAGGATAGACTTCACTAGCCAGAGAATCACAAACAGCTACACTTCACTTGTTCCCCATGCTAAAGCACCCCAAACATGCCCATCAATATGCCTTTCACAGAAAAGGCTGGAAATCACCAAGGACTGCATACTGAGTGTTTCTGGGGAAGCAGAGAGAAAGCTTTCCTCTCTGTTCCCACCCAACTAAGTAGCCAACTGCATTTATTCATTCAACAAAAAACAAGGTGCACAGTACTATACCAGAAATCCTCAAAAATTCACACACACACACACAGGTTTACTTTCACACACACACATACACACACACAGGTTTACTTTCACACACACACATACACACACACAGATTTACTTTAACACACACACACACACACACACACACACAGGTTTACTTTAACACTCACACTGTCCCTGCCCGAAAGAATTCCAATTTGCAAAACCATTCATAAACTCCAGGGTCAAAATCTCAGGATGAAGAGTTGAGGTGAGAGAATAGGAAGGTGAGGGACTCCACGCTGGAGACAACTGGCAAAAGCAGCAAGAGCAAAGATTCAGGGAGATAAATGCATAAAATGTGGCTAGGGAAGAGACTCCAGCAAATTGTCTAGGGTCAGAGTGTAGGAGAAGAGGAGCCACTACAAGTCTGTGCATACCAGAGTGACATGGGGGAAGGAGTGCTTAGAAGAATGATCTAGTCACTGCATAATGACTGGATCAGAAGGACCAGAGAAAGCAGGAAGGAAAGGGAGACCATGACAACAACATAGGCCCGACATGGAGATGGCAGGGCAACAGAAAGAAAAGGAGGGAAATACAAAAAAATAAAAATAGAAAGGAAAACCTCTTCACTTGCTGAACTCTCCAGAGAAAACTCTCTAACACTTAATCTGACTGATATAAGTCTCCCACCACTAGGTAAGAGCCTGCCACAGAGGGAAAGGTTGTTTTGGCAATTCCCTTTTATATTCTAGTGGCCAGACCAGTTCACCCCCTTCTGACTGCCACCAAAAGAAATTACATACTGTGTACCCTCCAGAGAAGACACAAAGGCCTTGAGATCCTTCGTCATTCTCTGGATCTTAGACATACAATTAAACTCTCTCAGAACGAACTTCAGTCTCCTGCATGAGGTAATACCTGCCTTCCCCACAAGCCTCAGCTTCACCCAGGCTGGGGTCTAGATCCTCCTGGGGAGGTGGATGGAGGGTGGCCATGAATTAACTCCATGCCCATACTAAGCAAGGCTGACAGGGCAACTTCCCCAGGGTGAGATTATAGCTAACCACAGCTGGGAGGAGCTTGTAACCAACACCTACCTAAGGTGGGACTTGAACCCAGATTCTCAGCAAAAAGTCCACATTCTAAACACAGCCTGAGTCTGTTTTTGTGGTCCCAGCTCTTCCTCTAGGTATGGGGTCACATAAGGGTGGGGGGGACAGAAGTTCTGAGTGGGTTTTTACAAATGGGAAAACAACACCCAGCTAAGAGCTGGTCACTGGTGGGGTTAGAGGTGCTCAAAGTTTAAACCACTGGTTCCTAAGTGTCCTCCAGCTGGCCAAGGACAGTTGTGTCCCTCCAGGGCATATGGTCCCTATAGGGCCCTTTTCTCCTTTTTTTAGAAGGGGGTGAAAAGGGTTAAGAGGAAAGTCTCTAAGGTAACACAAAGAAAAAGGACTGGAAATCTTTTTCATTTAATCATTAAATTTCTGCCTAGATTTATCAGCTCAGCTTCTCATTTCCCTATGCAGGTACCTTCTTTGGCTAAATAAAAGTGCTGAAGGCAGTTGTGGACGGACTGTTGGAGCACATTGCCAGTTATCTCCTATCCAACTGGTCTTCTGCCCTCTTAAGATTGTGGACAATGGGCCACCAGGAGAAGTCCCAGGTGAGATTAAACCTCTGCCTGTGTGCATTCTTTGCTCATTCCTGACAGGCTCTAGAGCAGTTGATGGAACTGCCACCTCGGTGAGTCCAGCAACCCCGCTGCCACACCGCCCAGCCCATCGTGTGCATACACACATCTCTCTTCCCCTCTGCCCTGGCCGGATCGACCCCTTTTTTCCAGAATGGCAAGACGACAGGCGTCCGTAGCTGTAAGCAAGTGCCGCAGCTTCTCCCGGCGGGCACCCCGGCTCCCGCAATCCCCGGGGCAGAGTCCGGCCCTGCCGTACGCCCCTCCGGATGGGTGGCTCATACCCGATCCCCTCCCCGACGCCACCACCTGCGCCCGCTCCGGCGCCGCCTTTGTCCAGCGCTTCACCGCCAAGCGGGCCCCTCGGGCCAGACCTGACCCGGCCCCCAGCCCCGGAGAAGAGGCGACAAGGCAGGCAGGGGAGGACCAGGCCGGGCCGTGAGCATGGGATCCCGCTGTCACTTGGAGGCGGTCTGACAACTTCGTTCCCCCCGCCCCACCTCAGACTCGGCCGCCGCTCCGCACGGTCCCCGCCGGGCCTCCCGCGGCCCACACTCGCTTCTCGAACCGGTTCCCTTCCGTCTTCGGCGCCTCCCTTCCTCCCAACCCGATCCGGTCAGGTCTACGCTGCCCTCAGCCCCGGCGCGGCCCCCATCCCCTGCCCCCCCATCCAGCAATAACCGGTCACCTCCCAGCGAGGGAGGGCACCCCCCACCACCACCAAGAGCGGGCGATCCCGCGGCTCCGCCCCCCGGCCGCGGCCCCTAGCCTCGGGGACCGCGATGGGGGAGGGGGCACGCCGGAGGTGGGGGTGGCGGGGGCCTCGCCGGCCGCGCACTCACTCGGAGGCAAGCCGGCTCAGCCTCGGCGAGGGAACGACCGGCGTCCTCCCGCCCTACGCGGCCCGGGACGCCCGTGCCGCCCGTGCCGCCGCCGCCCGGCCGAGCTGCCACCCTGCAGCCGCCACCCACCCCGCCCCTGGTTTGCGAGGCGGGCGGCCCCCGGGGGCTGTCACCTCGAGGCGCGCCGCCCTCCTCGATGGCGGGACCATGGTGCTGGACCCGGGAGAGGGAGGCGGCGCAAACGAGCGGGCGGCCGCACCTGCTTCGCGTCGTCCGTCCGTCGGTCCCTTCCCGGGCTGGCGGGGGCGGCGGCGCAGCGCGCTTGGTGGGGCGCGCTGACGGGCAGCCGGTCCTCTCCTCTTCACTCGTCTGCCTGCCTCGCTCGCTCCCTCCCGCCCTCTCGCCCCTTCCCCCATCCCCGACCCCGACCCCAAGCTCACCGGGACAGCGGCGCGGACGGCGCGGCTCTGGGCGCCCGCAGGCCCCGGCCGGGCTGGAATCCGGCGGCTGGAACCCCCCGGGGGCGCTCAATTCCCGGGCTCCACGCTGCTGCGTCAGCGCCTCCTCCTGGGGGCCGGGGCCGGGCGGGCGGAGCGGGGGCCGCAGCCGGGCGGGGCCGTCGGGGGGGGGCGGGCGCTCCTGGCCGGGGCGGGAGGACGGTGGGAGCCGGACGGGCGGGGCAGGCAGCCGGACTGGCGGGCGGCGGGGGCCGGGC